TAGGGGTGAGAGTGGGGGAGGGGGCGGAGGGCCTCCCTGCTATTGGAGAGGAACTCCCCAGAGAGCCACACACCTGTACGCCAGATCCCAGGCTCGGCGCTGTAGGGACCGGCTTCCTGGGGTCAGAGCGTGGGCGAGAAAGACTTGGTTCAAAATCCTAAGATAAAAAAGGGCAGTCGTGTTCTAAATTAGGAAAGGCTTAATTTTTAATTGTATTGTTTATAAATGATCAGCACTGGAGCTGCATTTGTTGATGCTAGGCTAGAGAAAGGGCTAGCGAAGCGCACAGCAGTCGTCAGGAACTTTGTCTCCCCAGAGTCCGCAGACCAGGATCTCCAACCGTTTGCCCCAGGCGAGGCGCGTGGGCTCGCTGAGCCCCAACCCAGAGGATTCTTTCCCCCCCTCCCCTCCCCGCAGATACAATGGCTCGAGTCATGGCAGAGCAAGAAGTGGAAAATCTCTCAGGCCTTTCCACTAACCCCGAAAAAGATATATTTGTGGTGCGGGAAAATGGGACGACATGTCTCATGGCAGAGTTTGCAGCCAAATTTATTGTCCCTTATGATGTGTGGGCCAGCAATTATGTCGATGTAAGGAACCGTTTCCTTCCCAGCTTGCTCCTAGGGCTCCAGGGGCGACGGGCACCCACCCTCAAGGCCCTGTGAAGATCTGGGTCGCCTGCCTTGCCCCCTTGGCCCCTGCAGGCTGCTCCCGAATGCTGCATGGGGGTTCCGGCTTGTAACGCCTTCTGCTCGCCCTGCCTGCTTTGAAAGTAACCCCCTCTCTCTGCTTCCCTAACGGCGGGGTCTGCACGTAGAGCCTCTAACCGCATGTTCCCGGACCTGGGAGCCCGCGCGCAGAGGAGCGCCCAGGCGCGCAGCCTGGAGTCCGGACGCGCGGCCCTGCGCAGCCCCACCGGGCGGGCGGGCGCGCTGAGGGGTGCGGGGCGTCTGTGTTCCCAGCTCATCACCGAGCAGGCGGACGTCTCGCTGCCCCGGGGAGCTGAGGCGCAGGGCCGCTGCGGCCACAACGAGTCGGAGCTGCAGGTGTTCTGGGTGGACCGCGCCTACTCGCTCAAAATGCTGTTTGTAAAGGTAATTCGGCGCCTTGGGGGGGCGCAGAGCCCCGCAGGGTGTGGGCGGGGGCCGCCCCTGGGTTTCCCCGCCCAGCAGCCGCAGGGGCCATTGACGCGCGCCTCCCGCGCTCCGCAGGAAAGTCACAACACCTCCAAGGGACCCGCGGCGACCTGGAGGCTGAGCAAGGTCCAGTTTGTCTACGACTCCTCCGAAAAGACCCATTTTAAGGACGCAGTCAGCGGTGAGTAGAGGTCAGCGGGGAGCCTGGGAAAGCAGGGGCGCTGCAGAAGCGCAGGCGTGGAGGCCCAATGCCTCGGGAAATTCGGAGAGCTGCTGGAAACCGATCCGGGCTTGGCGCTCCCAGGCCAGATGTCCCCTGGCTCGTTCCCCGAGGCAGAGAAGCAGAGGCGCAGGTGGGTCCTCCGGGCCGCAGGCCTTGTCCCTGCGCGGGGAACCCGGCCGGGCACCTGCGCGTCACCCGTGGCCGGCCGGCTGCCAGATGAGAGGTCTCTTGCCAGGGCCTGGCTTACCCTGGCTGCTTCAGGCGGCCTCATGGTTTGTCCTTTAGGGGGGGCAGACAACGACAAAGCCGCGTCTTCCCCTGCACCCCGGTTCTTCTCACGCTCTGGAACTTGAAGGGGGCATCATGACTGTCCTTTCTCACCAGGGTCTGAGAGGCTTCAGTGCGCTTTGCGGTGGCAGCAGGGCTCCCAGCCCTCCTCAGTCACGACTGCAGCCACCCCAGAGTGCATTCCGAACCGTGGCCTAATTTATTAGCTGTTTCTGCCCATCATTTTAACCACTCACCCAGATTCTCCAAAAATATCGTGGCCAGAGGAATGTCCATTCCCCAAATAACAGAGTTTGCATTTGCAGGCACTGCCCAAGGCCACGTTTGAGTTAACTTATTTGTTTTGTAAATTGTCTCATCTATTCATAGCGAGGCCTTCTATCACCTGAGCACCTGAGTTGGGAAAACAGTTTTATTGAGGATGTGAACTACAGATGTCATCTTTCCCTTCTCACCCCTTTTGTCATCACAGCAAAAAAAAAAAAAAAAAAAAAGCATTTTCATCTCTTCATCAAAATCCCCATTCAAGCATTTTCCCCGGGCGTCTGCTCAGGACACAAGAAATCAGACATGCTATGTTGAGGAGGGTATTTTATTCTTTGGGGACCAGTGTGAAATGTGGAAAACCACATCACTGTTCTGCATCCTTGGAATCTCCGTTGTTAGGTTTTAAAGAATAAATAGGGTTGGGTTTTTAGGCATCCATCATGCTCCTCTTCTAAAAAGAAATCCCAAAACTTCCCCAAATTCCAAATTAATGTTTAAGGAACTCCTGCTCATGAAGAAGTGGGTGTTTTTGACACCACCTGATGCCACAGGCGGAGCCCTAGCCCTGACAAGGTGTCGCTGCCTTGCCACACAGATGATTGGAGGGGGTCCGGAGCTGAGAGGGAAGGAGGGTTCTGCCAGCCAGAGGGGCCTAACCTTTGCAATGTTGGGTCTTCCCTGCAGCCGGGAAGCACACAGCCAACTCCCATCGCCTCTCTGCCTTGGTCACCCCAGCTGGGATGTCTTATGAGTGTCAGGCCCAGCAGACCATTTCACTTGCCTCCAGCGATCCGCAGAAGACGGTCACCCTGATCCTGTCTGCGGTTCACATCCAGCCCTTTGACATCATCTCTGATTTTGTCTTCAGTGAAGGTAGGCTTTGGGGGGGGGGG